CCTCCAAAAAGAGGACGTATGGTCACCCTATATGAGGTAAATGCAAGAAATGCTCGGTCACTATCGAAACTAAGGATGAAAAAGATTAATTACGACAAAATGTGATTTCATATTCATTGCCGCGCTAACACAGACTATCTCGACAATGTTGAAATATAGGATAATAATTGTAAAATATTTTCAATCAAAAACTTCCCCGACGTGTTATAAATACTGCAAGTCGGCGCTGACTTAAATCATTTCATGTCGGCAGTCATTTATTGCGCGTCGCAAAGAGTGTCTCCGATTACGATGAAACATAAAAAATGAAATAATTGTGATATGTTTTCAATCAAAACGCGGACGGCGGCGCTAGGACTTGTGCGCGATATTCAGTATTCTTATAAACACTAAAAACGATATTTGACAGTCGCAATATTCGAATGAATTCGGATATTAATTTCGAATTGGACATCGCTGAATAATACCTTGACCGATTTTTGGTTGCATTTGCTATGACGTCATAATATCCGTTTCGAAACGCCCAGCCCTACATACTATTTACGTGAATAAGGAAGCAGTTGCTGGGTAAGATTTTTCAAATATGAATGCTCGGGAAATAATGAACCAGCTTGAACCAATAAGCAGTCGTGTAAATTTGAAAAGAGGGCGCGATTCTTCTAATTTAACGGTAATGATGGGTCGAGATACCTGCCGGCCACGTTAATGTCGACCGAAAACCTAGTCACCCAGCGAACTCGATACCCACGGGTCGATAAATAACTTCTGTGATTGGATTTATTCGTAAATGCGTGTATTACCTACGAAGCTTTTAAGATGATGACATGATACTGGAACAAGGCTACCTGGTGCCAATTATACGAGAATTTATCAAGTGGTGGGATTCAAAATTTTTCTTTTTTACATTCAAATAGTCTTCAACAGGTCTCTTATATTATATCGCGGATCAAAAACGGGTTCGCTAAATATCACGACATTCAAGAATGGGTTCGACTGGAGCACCTAAATCCTATCGCTGAATTTATCTTCATGTCGGGCAAACAATACGATATCATCATCGTGAAACAATGTGTACAGGACAGCACAGAAGAAAATATACCTATATAGTTGTAATTGCCAGATCACGAAAAATGGCAACTTTAATTTCAAAAATTAGAACAGTGCCCACACCAAAGGCGTGCTGAACTTTTCTGTTGCCCATGGCTTATATCTGACTTCAGAAATAATTCAGGGACAAATTATAGATGTTGTTCTACATTAGAATGAATAAATTTAAGGTTAAGTAAGAGTAAAATGTTTGTATTACCAATTAAATCAAACTAAGCAACAAATTCATTTATCTGCAATCCCCTACCACGCGCTGCCCTTAGTTGCAAAAGTATTGGAATGTGTGCGATTTATTTTTACGAAAGTTTCCAAATATTGTTACTCGTCGGCCAAAGAGACCATCGGGCCGTTTCATGCTTGTCAAGCATCCATTTAATGATAGAGGATAAACACAAATAAGGCACGATTTAGTCTTAAAACATGTAGAAATGCACATTTCTATTTGAGCTTATCTACGAAATAATTCCATTGTATAGGATTTTTATATCAAAGGAGAGGAAAGTGGATAAGAAGACTTTATGACCAGGCACACCACAGGTTCTCATGCATTTGACGGCGCTCCAGAAGTGTGTGTACCGATATGGAGGTAACTAATTTTGTTAGCCTATTTTACATCAAGTTGTGTAAAGGCATGGAAGCCTATGGGCAGATGGTATGTTCACTTGGCTACCATAGGCACTCCCCGAACTCGTAATAGAACTAAAATAAGGAAAATCGGAATAAAATTATAGGCTAATTTCCAGTATGATGAGAAAACGGGAAATAAACGTAAAATATAAGAAAATCGTTGCGATATGCTGTAAGCGACCTCTAATTTTGCATTGAATATTTGTCTTCTGTGCATTTTTGCCACTACGATTCACACTTGAATCAACTTCTCGTTAGGTCGACAGCGAAATTGAATTCTCCCCAAAGGAGGGACCGTATGTAGAAAAGGTTGAGATTCAGGGGGTTCGCTCTAACCCGGTGTATTTTGTTTTAGGCGCTAAACGACCACAGAAAATGGGTTACGTGCGCCGCAGCTGAGAACTATATATGTTTGTATCTAGTAGATTTATGTGAAGCGCGTCATGTTAAAGCAGCTTACGTATGTATATTTTCTGACATCATGAGACCTATTTTTTGTGAGTTCGATACAAAAGAGAACTCGTTTTAGAATTTTGAATCCCACCAGTCGATTTTTAAATCAGTAGTTCTCAAACTTTTTTCCACGACCCCAATATAGGTAAAATGTGGGACTTACAGATACTCGCGACTCCACAACAAGAGAATGACAGCATTTTTAAAAATTAAGTTTATTCTATTTATATAGAGGGTCGATCGCCATGTCTCGAATAGTCGATCGCGTTTGATGTTGAGAGCATTTAATAACATAACCCAAAAATTAACGCGAACCAGTTTCATGCAGCGCCGGTTGTGGGCAAGCCTGATGATGCTTATTCGGCCTTAGATGTGAAATATATGATTCGAATAAATCTTAACTTAATAATGAAAATTTACTTCGGGTTGAATTGCGTTCCGACCGTCGTCGGGTGCGGACGTGTCAGCTTGAAAAGACTAGTGAATGCTACGCGTTGTATGTTTCGGTATCTGTAATCTGTATCGCGCAATATCAACATGAGCAAAGCCCATCCACTAAAATAAGAGAAATTTATGGATAAAAGATTGGATTTAAAGTTAAATGGTGGACGATCCTTTTATGAATCTAGTCGTGTATGATGGAACAGAGCATAGAAAAGATGGGATCACTGCACCTGTTGGAATGGCTGAATGATGGTCGTTCGTGGAAATTCGATATTAATGTTAGAAGCATTGGAACGGATACAATGATTTTTAAGTGAACTAACCGAAAACGACGAAAGAACCCAATACCCCAATTGATGATTTGTGCATAGACTGCTATGGAACATTCAATCCATTTACCAAGCTTGTTTTTTAGTAAAAAAAAATTGTCACTGTGTTATTTTTGCAATATAATTGAAGTAGGCCCAAAACATCATCATTTGTTGTCAGCGAGTGTTCTTTAATTCATATATCTGTATAGGAAAAGCACATACACGTCTCACATTTTAATTTGAATTTATAAGATATTGCCCGATGTCACATCGTGTTTTTGTTTTATTGTGTTTTGCCTGTTTTTGGGGGACGGGCACGTACTTGTACGTATTTAACTTTTTTATTAAGTTATGCACGTCCTCCAGGTCCTCTGTATTTTGTTTGTCCCTTTGTTGTTGTTTTGTGTTTTGTTTGTATCAGAGTGACCGAATAAAATTGATTGATTGATATATATCTTAATGGAACAATGTGCCTGTACATCAACTGTAACGAACATTGGTGTGACGTTGTTGTACGTAACTGTTTAACCCAGCGGTTCCTAGCAATCATATAAAACGAGAATATCGGTCAGAGACCGAAGACTTATCGATCGAAAGTTAGGGGATCCCCCAAAACAGCGCTCTTACTCCATAGTGACACCTTGTGTCCCATTACTAATTATTAAATAACTCGCTAAATATACGACATAATTCATCCAAAATCGATAGGCTTCCGGTCCGACATATGATGAATGCACATGCAAAATCTGGAGCAGATTAAATCTTGCTTTCGTGCGATATTGCGTGCATCAGACAGACAGACGGACAGACAAATACCTATCAACATACTTACCGATTAAAATCGATAAGTAATTACCTCGCGGACCGGAAACAGAATATTGGACTTGATGAAACATAAAATAATAATATGTCTTTGCGTAAAAATAACATAATTTCAATGTGTTGACACAGAATAGAGAACAAAATACCGTAAAACACATTTCAAACAGCATACGGTCGATTGGACTCAAATATTAACCTTTACATTCACGTGAACGGTAAAAAAATAACCGCGTTCGACACAATAAATCTGTAGTCTCCGTAGACGCTCATATAGGCGAGAATCATTCTTGATATGCGATAATCCGAGGAGCACGAATGTACGGTGTGCGGTTCTGGCGTCGAATTTTACCCATTTTGTCGTTAATATGAAACCTTAACGCTCTTCGAATAGACCGGAGAAAGGGAAAAGGCTCGATCTAGAACACACAAAAGTGAGAAGAGCAAAGTCGCTTTTCACAAAGCTCACTCCAACATTTTCGTAAAACCGTTAAAGACTACACACATGAACTTACATATTGAAATTTTATTGTACACTCGTACCCTAACTACTTCGTATTAGGGAATTGCAATTCGATAAAAATGAACTATTTAGCAACATCAACGAGTAAATATATTGAACTAACACAGAAAAGATGAAGTATCATCATCATTGTTCTGTGTCAGAACATTTGGTCACGAGTCTTTGTTGAATACGCAAGGGCTATTCAAACTGGGCTACATTGACTTGTATTGAAACGAAAGATCGAACAAATTTGAATGATTTGGAACCAGTCATCAGAACCACAATCTTTCGTTGAAAATGAACAAGCAAATCGGTCTGATGAAAAGTATTGTCAATTTTATTATTATTTTCTGTAATATTAAATTTTACCTCGTTTTTATTTTAGTTTTAGTGGGTTGCGAAAAAAATCTGGTCGTGCTAGGTGAGTCGTGATAAAAAAAAGACTTCCAAGAACGCTGTAATACGGTGTCATATGACGTTCGTTTTGATTGGTGTTTTGAACACTCGAAAATCTGACATTCATAAATTCCTGATTAGCTAGGATTCACCTATTTTTGCACAGAAGTATTTTCGTTTTATACGAAATATTATAATTAGAGCTGGGCATTTTCGAATACCTGATGATTTCAGAATCGAATCGAATATTTTTTTCGAATCGAATCTCGAATACTTGGGAGATATAAAATTGTATGTAACTTTATTATTGTATATATTAGGTCATCCAGACACATAAATTACTGAAAACATAGAATATATTACTCAGGCAGATGGCTGAGCGTTCACACACAATAAAAAACACGTTTTCATCAAAACTCACTACAGAAAAGAGACATATGTCAGCATTGCGTAGAAAAAATATTGCTTAGTCAGTTATTTTTTGTTTGCACTCTCGCACTAAGATGTCGCACAACCTGAACATGGTATGTGTACCAGGTCGGGGTTCAGGTTGTGCTCCATCTTGGTGCACATACTTCCGGAGGTCCTTTTTTCATGTTTGCACCGCAATAAATCTGTCTTATACAAAATGTTATAATTGTCTCATTTAGGATTCTTTTTTTCTTTGATAATTTTGTTAGGTCCACATCCATATTTGTTCCTTTTGTGCCTTTTCATATCAGCATTACAAGTAAATCCTTTTCCGCAAATATCGCATTCATAAGGCTTTTCTCCAGTGTGAATTCGCATATGAATTTTTAAAATGTTTGCGTAACCGAATTGTTTTCCACATACTTCACATTTTAAATTTTTTTCGCCTGAAAAAAAACAACCATAAAGATTACTTTAAACAAGTTTCGGGACTGAAAAATAAAAAAATCTGAAAAATGGATCTGAGGCTGAGGCTAGTCGTGAAATATTGGTGCTCCAGAGAAAAAAAGCGCAATCTGAAATAATAATTCGCGCACAAAAGTGAAAATATCAAAGTCGCTTTTAACTTTCGTAAAAATGTTTAAAAACCACACACCTGAATTGCAAAGCATGGAATGACAATTGAGATGCCTTTCACTTACCTGTATGAGTTATGTAGTGTGACTTTAAATGTCCACTCCTTTTGAACGTTTTTTTGCAAACAGTACATTCAAATGGTCTTTCATTAGTATGAATTTGACTATGTGTCTGTAGCTCAGATTTTCGTCGAAATGCCATTCCACATTCCTCGCACTTGTGTGGCCTTTCGTTCGAATGTACCACCATATGAGACACGAGACACGTCTTCGATTTGAACAACTTTGCGCATATTTTACAAGAAAAGTTTTTTACGTTAAAGTGTACGTTCATATGTATTCTTAGATTAGAAATGACTTTAAATGCTTTATCGCAAATTTCACATTTGTGCTTTCTCTCCTTGAAGTGGTTTCGGATATGTGTCGTCAGGCCAGATTTGAAGCGAAATACTTTATCACAGATGTTACATTTGTGTGATTTTTCTGCGGTAGAATGAAGTTTAAGATGACCTCTCATGTTTTGCACTTGATTAAAGCTTTTGTCACAAACTGGACAATTGTACTGTTCCATTCTATGTACCAGAGTATGTTTCCGCATACGCTTTTCATCTTTAAATGCTTTACCGCATATTTTACATAAAACTTTTCTTTCTTCCGTGTGAACGACTTTGTGCCTGTCAACTTCTGATTTTGAAAAAAATCTTTTTGCACAAATCGAACATTGATGAGTTTTCTGTCCAAGGTGTCTTCTCATATGAATGACATAACTTCTTCGAAATCGAAATTCTTTTGCGCAAATTTCACATTTGTGTTCTTTATTCTCGTCATGTACTTTCATATGACTCTGAAGTAGTGACTTGTGCTTGAATCCAGTGTTACACACGGTGCATTTAAATTTTGCTTTCGCAAGATGTGTTTTTATATGAAAGTTCAAATATTTCTTTGCCAAAAATTTCTTTCCACATATTGAACATTGTGGTTTGGTTCCAACTTTTTCTGTATTATTTATAGGCATTTTGTTGTGTATCTTAAAAAAGATTTTCATATTATAAAAGCTGTGTAGGCTGTTATTTGGTCAAGACCGGGCGGGATGGAATTCATTTGAACGGCGGATTAAGGTGTGGCGCATTGTGCTTAACGTTAGTAATACGCTCGCCACCTAACCTCCGATTACTCTGCGTGGGTTCGCCGGTTCGAATACCATGAGGGGAAATTATGTGCAAGAAAATGGACCCCTCTCCGCTGTAGGGTGGTTCACGTAACCGCAGGTGGGTTACAAATTCTTCCACCATGCAGCCCATGCATCTGAAACAATTAACTTGCTAACTAATCCCATATCTGACATGGACGTAACCAGACTGTGGTTCGCCATATGATTAAACCTTTTCTCTCCTCTGGTATAAATATGTAAATCCTATGTTATAGCAAAATGTACCAGTCGACAATCAAAATACTGAACGTTCCCCATTACGATATTTATTCAAACAATCTTTTCATTATATGCATGGTACTGCAAGTATATATATTTTCTATCTTTTTGAATAGGTTTTGTGGGATGAATTATAATACAACCGACTCGTGCTTCCTGTACAACTTAATCCCAGTATAAGGCAGTTTAATTATAATATATATAAACCACATTTCACGTATGTCTGCCACATGGTAATCCATCTATGAAATTGGGTATACTCAACTTTATAACGATTACCTCTGTATCAATGTATCTGACATGGAGAAACTACGGCCCAAATCCTGCCGCTGGGTAATTCAATTTGGCTCGTCTGATGCTTCCACAACCAAACTAAACCCAAATTTTGATGTTTTAGTTAAAAATAGCACAAGGAATTTGTTGAGATTGCGATCGAATTTAGTTTTGGCACGAGGCTTATTGTTTCCCATTTTTGATTTTGTAACACTGTAAATATTGCTCATGAAATGTAACTTTTACGCCACACTTTTATGGCCCGCCAGTCTAGGTCTGAAAAATTTTTGGCCCCTGGTTTAAAAACTTTGCCCAACCCTGATCTATATCTTACTCTAATATATTTAAAGAAACTACTAAACTTATATACGATCCGCCTGTGAGTAATCTTTGCTTCGGCGATAAGAAGCTAAAGACTTGCGCCATCCTTTGATTACTCGCGCAATTTTATCCAAGCAGGTAATCAAATATAGATAAGCGACATGTAACCTAAGGCAATATAGGCTTCACATAATTATAAAGAACAATAGAATTAATCAAATTGAAGCTACAGGTATCGCTGTACGACTAGCGTCGAACCCTGAGTTATTACTCGGGTATATACCTCTGTATACACTCAGAAATTGAGAAATTTGGCGAAGGTTATTTTATGTTTTATTTTCATTTGGACACATGCAATGAAAAATACCAAACCATTGCGATGTACTGAGTTAATATTTGCCATAGAATATGGGATCTTACATATAGGAACGTACCCTAACACAAGTTTATTAAAAGCTCACCCATGAATATATTGGGTTGCCTTTGACAATTTTACCGGTTATCGGGAAATACGAATCGGACTCATTGGTAGGGATGGCGGAATCGATTCTTTTTGAATTCGACTGGAATAGATTCCGATGCCGTGGAATCAATTCTTAGCGTTAAAACTTGGATTGCAAACAAGATATAACGTTTTGTGAGAAGTCCTTCACATATATGTATAAACCGCTATGAGGAGTTGCTATACGACGCCGCAAACTTCACTATATTTCTACACTCCCATAGGTCGAGAACACGTGCCACATTTCATTCGTATCTATTTTGTCTTACCTATTGTGTTGATAACTCCTATTTACCTGAAGCAAAATGCAATATGAAATGTGAAACACCTGTTGCAATTTTGAGTATAAAATGTTCACATCGCCATTTGACAGAGCGGAATAGCAAAGGAATTCTTTAATAGATCGAATTAGGCATATATTGAAAATCTGATCAATGATGGAATGGACAGCTTTGAAGCAAGAGGGGGGGGGGGGGGGGGCAGAAATCTTGGCATATCAGCGACCTAAGAAGAAATGTTGCGATGGTGACAACAAAACAAAAAATCTTATCCAAACATCGCAGTTGTCGTCCCATCAACATCCGCTGTGTCAGAAAGAGCATTTAGTTCAGCGGGGCTTACCGTATTTTTGTGTGCGATTGTGTCTACTGTGACATATTGAATACCCATATTACTTAGTTTTGGTCTTAGTTTTGGTCCATATATTTGAACATCGCTCTCTTGTTTGATTTCATATTGTATTGTTTAAGTGGGTATGTTTACTCCGGTAAACTATGTCGAGGAATCGAAAATTTAGAAATCGGATACTTGTAAGCAGTGGTGGGATTCAAAGTTTTTGTCAGCCGGTTCCATCACATATTTTTCAGCCGGTTCTGTTACAAAAAGTCATGTTTTTTCAGTAATGCTAACCGATTCGCTGATCTCATTAAAATTCCGTGAGACGGTTATATATAGAACCGGCTGAATCCCACACTGCTTGTAAGTAGTCATACTTAGCATCCTTATCTACGACTAGGTCAATGTTTTATATAGTAATACAAACGAAGGGACATCAACGGTAAACAGAATCCCTGATGTATATGAACAGAAATCACCGACCCCAGAATGTTTTTTTGTTATGTGTTACTGTTTTATTTCATTTATTTTTGTTTGCTATATTGCGTGCATTTTGGGGTGTTTTGTAGAAAGTCCCTGTCAACGCTTAAGATAAGTTATCCAATTAAGTTCTCCAATTAGGGTTAAGAATGCAGAATTCGTGTGAAATACAAATGTTTAAATAATAGGCAAACTTAACCCGAACTCTAACTGGATAACTATTAATTAGTTAATTAATAACGTAATGTGGTATTTTCTCAAATCTCACATTTTTAGATTAGTAGCGGGGGCTCTGTAGAAAATACACGCATCTCGTTACAAAAGCTAAATATATGAAATAAACATCAACATTGTCCGAAGCTATTGCAGTGGAAAAACATAAAACTATCGTTAGAAATTGGTATTTTTGTATGATCTTCAGATGTACCAAATTTATAATGCATATCTATTAATGACGTCATTCACTACAGACTACACGAACCCAGCAAAAGTAATCACTAATCAGCGGTGCTGCGTCTGATATGTCTTTCAAATAGGTCGATACATGATGAGTAGGACTGGGAATGCTTAACCGGTTAATCGATTTTAGATGGTTAACGGCTACGATTTATTTTCACCGTTAACTGACATCTCAGGTACAATTTCTTCAAAAATGATTACGTCATCGCAAATTTATCTTCTGTGGCCTTTAATTCAAAAGAATATCACTAACTCCAATGAATGTAAAAAATAATTGTTGAAGGACCAAGATTTCTGATTATGAAAATTTGACAATGCTAATTTCTGAATCAGTTTTCGGTAATTATATTGTTCACGATTTTATTGCTAAATCATCTATTCAATGTGCGCGGTTGATGCTAGTTTTCCTTGTGGCATCTTAAAGTAGAATTTGCACATCCAACACTGAAAATTTGTCACATAAATAACATTTAATGACGGAATCAGGTTTTACTGAATAATTTTGAGAGATACCAGGATAAGATCACACGAAATTGCTTTGTACCCATCGTGATGTAATAAGCAAAATTTATTACGTCAAACGTCACGCTGCGGTTATCCGACTTATTCTACACGGTTAACGGTTGAACTGTTTCCTTGAAATTGCCAGCCCTAATGATGAGCCAATCGTCGGCGATGCTGATGCAATGGAAATGAAGCGACTTAGTGTCAACTATATGACAATTTATCGCGCGGGCGGACGATACACTATTCGCCATTAAATATATATAGGGTGTCTCAAAAGTGAGTATACACTTTTAATTTTGATTTGCTTTTCAGGTACTCATCATAGTTCATTTCTTCAGGAAACATAGTATGAATATGTAGTAAAATTTAGGTATTGTTTGCATTTTTAACAACCAACCGAATGGCAAGGACATTAACCCAAGAAATGAGGTGCAAAATTGCTGTTTGGTAATTTGGAATTAATTCGGCTCCTACATGATGAACAACTTTATTACGTAAAATTATGGAAACTGGATCTGTAGTTGATGCACAACGATAAGGAAGACCAAGAAGTTGACGCTTTGGGGAAAACATTCAGAGCCGAATTAATTCCAAATTCTCTGTTAAAGAGGCGCTGAGTTTGCGATACTGATTTACATGCTTCTTGCCAAACAGCAATTTTGCACCCTATTTCTTGAGTTAATCTCCTTGTCATTCTGTGGGTTTTTGAAAAATGCAAACAATACCTAAATTTTACTACTTATCCATACTATGTTTACTGAAGAAATAAATGCTCTATGACAGGGATGGCAAACCACTGACCCGCGGGTCACAAAGTGACCCACTGCGTTTTATTTGTGACCCGCCAAGCACGAAGGCACGAATAAAATAAAAAAAAATGCTAACATATCAGTGATAAAAATTGATAAAACCGGCCTTAAATTAATCTAACAATAGCTAAACTATTATAATGTACCGTCAATTGGACAGTCAGGAAGAGCTGCGATCGCTCATGTTCAAAATGTTTATTTTCGGGCCGGTATGGTAATTTTCAAAACCCCTAATCTTGTACGCATGTATGCACCGCTGTGTACCGTTATTCAGCTATTGGGCCTGACATTGTTTATGACATAACAATGCAATTGATCTGTTCATTTTTCGCAACGCCTGTCTTTTTTGGAAGTGCATCTTCAGACTGTTTTAGGGGTTATACGAGAACTAGATGCTACTTTGCATTTTATTAGTTTCTCGTCTACAATGCTGTTGTGAAAACAAAAACTTTCAGTCTTGAAATAAAAATCTAGAAATCTGATGAAACAATGGGGCAGTGTAAAAGTGGCTTAATGTGGTTGAAAGCTGATTGAAAATTATAACACTATCAAAGCGGAATTACCTCCAAACACTAGAACCGTAAAATAATTTAACGCATCATCCTAAACGTTTTCGGTAATTCATGTGCGTGTTTTCGTACTCTAATATCATAAAACCGAGTGCCATGAAAAGTCCCTGATAGAAGTGCTGCATAAGTAAAGCCCAAAGTACACCAACGTCAGCTTATAAGATTTGTTTCAGAAGTTTTTTATAGATACAAACGTGAATTAAATATCTGTGACCCACTCTCTTCTGTTCCGCGATAAAATTATAATTTTTGACCCATTCATTGAAAAAGGTTCGCCATCCCTGCTCTATGATGAGTACCTTGAAAGCAAATTAAAAGTATATTCTTACTTTTAAGACACCTTGTATATACAGTAGAAACTCTACCTACAAAATTAATTCGTTCCGGAAGCCCCTTCGTAAGTTGAAAAGTTCGTAAGTAGGAACGCATTTTACCTGTAAATGCCCTAATCTGTTCTAAGTCCACCAAAAAATCGGACATAATACTTGTTTAAATTGTTTCGCGGGAAACAAACGGAGCAATGGGATGGCAAATAGTTGAGGGCGTCTGGCAGGGCAGCTATCTCGTGCTTTAATTTTATTTTGCTCACTAAACCATTCGTTGATTCAGAAAAACGCAAATGTTATTACGCGACCATCGTCATAATGAAATGAGTGAACCTGATTCCCATATTTCCAAACGATATTTTCATCAACAACGCCGGGATACGAATAAATCCGCGATAGGTGCTGAATTATATTTTATACGCTCTAAATTGCAAGAAATGAAAAAAACTTTCGTCATGTTCGGTTACTATCGAAACTGCGAATGGAAACAATTATTTACGACACAATTTGCTTTTAGATTTATTGCCGAGGTCGCACAAACCATCTCGACTAAATTGAAATATACGATAATAATGAAATCTTTTCAATAAAAAACATCCTGGATGTGTTACATAAGCAAGTCGGCGCTCATTGAAATCCTTTTATGCTGACTGTACTTAATTGCTGCGCTGCACGCGGCTGCCTTTGATTACAATAATTTTTTTTCGGCCTTTCGTATGTAGAAAATCTTACGTTAGTCGAAGCAATATTTTTGCGGAAAAAAGTTTTCGTAAGTTGGATTTTTCGTATCCAGATTTTCATAGGTAGAGTTTCCACTGTTATATATCGTCACTGTAACGAAGCTACTTAGCCTAATTATACTAAAATTTAGCTTCATACAAAGTTGAAATTCGATATTCGCCATAAAATACAGTGTGTTATAGGCTATGTTTATACCGTGTAGGCTATAGACGCGGAGACGCTTAAACCGCAGCTTAGCAATGCCGAGTACCATAAAAAAATAATGCGGACATCTTCGCTTGACAAGAATTTTACGAGTGGAACAATGAGAGCAAGACAGTACGGAAGTGTTGATTGCCAGATCATAGAAAACGGAAACTCTAATTTTTATGAATTCAGTGGAGCCCAACTTTTTTATGTAGATGAACCGGTAGAGATATTCGTTTCATACCCAAATTTCTGAAACAGAACTATAAACTATCAAATAGCATGCAGAAATGCGAAAACGAGGTACTGTTAATCGGGCGAGAGGCCGTTTTTCGCCATGTGATTAAGCCGTCTCATCGCCTTTCCTCTCCTCCGAGATAAATATGTAAATCATATCCTATGATTCCAGCCAGGGACTGCGGCCCCGCGCAACACGATGTAGGACGCAGTAGATCCAAGCTCACATACATTTTTACTATGTGTTTTTAAGTTAAATCTGACATTACGTGTATAGCCCAAAGCCTTGCGGTATTGTGTGTGGTGATAGCGACGCAACTGACTGTATACAGTAGTATTAGCATTGAATTTATATACACCTCAATGAGTATTAGTAATTATTTTTGGGCTCACCCTGGGCAGCAGAACTTCCGGGTTTGGCACGACCCTGATCCTACCATGCTGTTTTGATAAAATTTATTGTTTTGTCTCTCTTTTTATTTTAAAGATATTATAATGGCTGTGCTTTTCGGAGCTTTCAGGCCTCCGCCCTCACGGAAACTTTTTAGTAGCCATACTCGTTAGGATGTCAGCGCCCAGTATCGATATACCTCCTACCATGGTCATTGCTCCTATGAAGAAAAAAAATGATACCGTACCAAAATCTTTACATAAATTTCTGTCATGGTTGTATGTGGGATAGACATGACTGTCTCTGGCGTAAATCAGCATCGGAGTGTGTGCGCATGACCTTGCTTTGAGTAATATTAAAAAAATACCCCCGTCGACCTCCATCAACAAACGTACCGGTATGTGACGTCAGAGCAGTACGTAGAAATTTTGTTGTTCATACTGGGAATGACATTGACTAATTGTTGTTCGGAAGTTAATAATCCAACTGAGTTCTAGAATTGGTGTATCAGTTCCGTATATTATCTACATAAAAAAGGTGGTTTGTTAAAACTGTGAAGCGGTACCGGTAATAATCTTACATAAAGAACAGGAGAAGGTCAAAGCAGCAAAATATTATGAATACCAGTAACTTCAGAACTTGTACCGGTACCGGTACGCAGGTATTGTTATAAGACTGTAGGATGTGGGCTGAAAAATCAGACGCAATTAGATTTTCAAGCGTTTGGCAAAAGTGTTTTTAGTTATGATATCAGCGTAGAAAATCTAACATGTCTGCAGAGTGCAGACTAAAAATTTTGGGTCGGTAATTGGTGTCAGTGCTAAGTTAACTCAATTACTGACCATCATTGGCAAAGTCTCAAAGGTTACAATATTTCAGAGGAAAATATTTAAAAAAACAACAACTAATTTTCATGTTTGTTTACTTTTTAGCATTGTTCAGTGTTAAGAAAAACAGTGGCTAATCACTTAGATGTTATGATTGGGATTCACATTTGAGCACAAGCACCATCATGTAACTTATAATCGTTTTTGTATTCTTCATTACTTTCAGACTTTGCTCACCAAAATTATTTACAACTTTACAAGGACAGAAGTAAGCTTCGCCTGTGAATTTAATTTTCTTGTGTTCATGTATGCTGTTTAAGAATTTATTATTTTCAGTAAAATTGTTGTCATACGTTTTTCCACTTGTGGGGGGGAATGGGCAAAAACGCTGATTACCGGGTCGCTGCCTCTTTTATTGCAGTATTGTGTTAAATTCAAGTCCATGCATCTGAAACAAATAACTGGGTTAACTATTCCGATACGGGTCTTACTACTTACTGAATACGGCGCGAAACACCGCAAAGAGCGCGAAACAGAGGAAAACAGCGCGAAACAGAGGAAAACAGCGCGAAACAGAAGGAAACCAGCGCAAAACAGAGGGAAACAGTGGGAAACAGGAGACGCAGTCATTACCACCTCCTGTCACGAAATAACCACGACGCCTCTCGCCATGGTTTTATGGCGCTATTTCCGGTATATTTACAAGGTTATGTACCGGATTATAGGTCATCATGCGAAATTTTATCTACCTTTTTGGGTTATCTACCATACTTCTGGAGGTCCCTTTTGATCTAACCCTAACCCTAAAGCCAACCATATCCATATGGAAAATGTTCTAAATTATGGTACCCAAAATGTGTCACCAGCTACATACGTTGGTTTGTGATTTTAATTTGCTGCCGTGGTACTCCAACTCAAAACAAGGTGCCCCGAACTCATTGCAAAATTTTTTTCTGCTTCACACTGTTTTGCGCTGTTTCCCTCTGTTTTGCGCTCTTTCGCGCTGTATTCAGTAAGTAGTAAGACCGTTCCGATACCCAACAATCGACATGGATTGATAATTGAACGAGAAGCTGCCGTGCGATACTAGATTAAGCAACTTATCAATATTGATTTGAAATTGTATGTTGTTCATAACTTTAAAATTTATTTTATATTTTTAATATTAACAGATCTAATGGCAACATCATCGAGTGCAAAAAAAGCTGCAATTAGGGTTTTATCGTATCATATAGGCACAAGAAAAATAAGAACTTCGATTTCGCAAATCCGAAAATTTTCTGGTTTTGAAGATAGGGAACATAATTGGGCTCAGTTTGCTGACGATCATGTTTCAACTAAAGCTGTTGTATGGCCGGATGAAACTATGGGTCCGCTGAATACGCCGGACTTCCGATTCGCTCTACCTGGAAATATCGGTGTCACGAAAGAGGACAAAGCAGTGGAACGTAATAGACCAGTAGATACCCAAGCTGAAGTTCTGCCTGAAGGAATAGCAGAACGTCACCTCACTGTTATATCCCAACTTATAGCAGAATCAGATTACCTTGACCCTGATAGTCAAACTGATACTGATATGGCCGATTGTATTTTACGAAAGTATTTTGAAAATGCAAGGGTTGAACTTGCAATGCAAGATTGCCCTCATATGATTTACAAAGATTTTGCGTCGTTTTTTCCAGATATGCCACAAAATGGGAAGTTAACCATTGTTACAATAACGCAACGAACTGACAACGATATGTCTGGATGGACGGAATCCGTTGATGAAGAACGCGAAAAACTTTTAGAAAACTTTATGTCCACTGCAACAGAAATATGCCATACGTTAAAAGCACATAATTATTGGTGCGATTATGTGGATCCATCCTCAGGCCAGCCATTTTTTGGGCCGTATACTAACACTACATTTTATGAAACTGATGAACGTTATCGCCACCTAGGGTTCGAAATTGAAGATTTGGGCTGTTGTAAAGTCATATACCATAAAAAATGGGGCGCGAAAGTATTTGTGGGAAGTATTTTCACAATGGCTCCTAAGGAGCATGCTGTCATGCAAAATCTACTCAAACTTCTTGATTAGTTTAACTGTTTTATTATTCCTCGCCTATGATTAAATCTAGTGGTTATTTCTTAATATTTTTATGAGCTTCTTTTAATGTCTTTGCTCGAAAAAAAGCTCGGCACAAGCGGACGCTTTCTAAAATTAACTGGGTTAGGAGTTGATGAAATCTTGATTAGTTCAACTATATTATTCAATCTCGCCTATGATATACTTTTTTTTATTCAGGAGTTAAATCTAGGGTTCATTTCCTAATATTATTATGATCCTCTTTTCGTGTCTTTGCTGTGATAAAAGCTCAGCATACTTGCTAATTACAACTGGGTTAGGAATTGCTGGAATCTTGTTTGTCAAACCAAGTTCAGCTGCCCAGTTTAGGTAAGGTTATCTAATATGTTTCTACAATGGCATTGCATTGTGTGCTCATTTCAATCTGATTGTTATGTAACACATGTTTCATAACCATTGCTGAATTCAAAAATTTATTTGAACTTAGTTATGTCTTTTAATAATATGTGTGAACACAACTTGCCTTGTTAATCTGAGTCAATATTAATCAAAATCCTATAAATTTGGATAAATTAATGCTCATTCTAGTTAGAAAAGAGCTGAAATGTTCGCAGAATTATATGTTGAACTACCGTAAGCATCTCAAGTATAGGAATAATAAAATATTCCATAGGCATGTACGTAGATAGATAAAGCTGTGTAATTTGCCGATGGTCAAACTAGGCACCTATTAACAGCAAGTAATATCTCACATATGTTTTCTCACAATTTGTATCCCCTTCATAGTTTATTCCGATGGCTTTTTTTTTTGTACATGCCACGCCAATTTGTTTATTTAGAAAGACGATTCAATGAATCTAATATTCATTTGAAAAACAATAATTCCATCATTATATATTGCAAATCAAATAATGTTAATTATTTGTGACTGAGTCCTGTATTATCAGGCTCTTTTTGACCCTCGTGTGTATAGGATAGATATTTCGTTACTCAAGTAAATTATTTGCTTTCTTGGTCTCAGTATAATTCAAGTGCAGGATTGATATGGATTAATTGTGCCCTCTCCTTGTGCTTTAAAATAATTGCTATATTTGGTACAGTCAAGTTGAATATTTTTATAAATGTTCGACTATCCAAGTTAAAAATACATTTATGAATGCTGTATGCGTGTTCATATAAAATTGGTAACTGATAATAAATTCAACTATCAACCTAACTAACATTGTGCACTGGCCAAGTCTACCTAAAAACAAGGATTTTAGGGTACCTTTCTGGTGTAGCTATATAACAGTGTTACCATTAGCAGTGTGTACCTCTTAGCTAACAAAGCCCTTGTTGAAAAACCCTTGTTCAAGGGTGAGAGCTCCCAATAAAATTAATGATAGGCCATGGCATTTGCATTGAAAAAACTTGAATTTCTACCTGGAATTTCATTTGTAAACTAGTGTAGAATATCTAAGAGCTGGCCCTTGTTTTACTGAGTTTCGTGCTAATAACTATTTCATCAACGTTGTTGATTTGTTTAAGCTGAAAGAATAAAATAAATTTACTGTGAACTTGAGTTTATTGTTTAATATCTATATTGCATGGTGGCACTAAGATACTTTAGCTTTTCAGATGTATCGAGTAACAGTTTTAGGTTCGACAAGCCACGGATATTGGTAGCTATCTTCATTGTCTAACTAAGCAAAAGAAGGTTTTAGCAGATTTGGTTTTTGAGGTATTGAATAATAATGCACATCAGCTACAATGTTTAGGTCTTTTGTACAAAGCCTCCCCCCCCCAACAGAAAAGTAGTAATTATCCAGTCGGGGTTAGGAATACATAATTTCGAACCACTACTGGGTTATTACTAATTTAAAAACGTGGCGGGGATGTTTTTCTCAAATTTCACATTTTCTAATGCGAGATTCTAATGTTAAATGGTTAGTGCCCTTGCGTTTATTTGTGTTTCATGTTATGCAACTTTATTGTGGATACCTATCATTTAAACACTCTCAGTTCAAATTAAGTCCGCAGCTCAAAGAAAACAAACATCGGTGAAACAACAGACCTGATGTGTAAATATTAGCATAAACGAATTGACACATGCGCATGAGGTCAGACTGAGTTTTAAATATTATCATAGGATACTTGCAACATCATAAAACTATCCCTGATAGGTAGTTAACGATATCTTTCATAGAAAATAACTAATTATTCAGTAGATAAGCAAAATAAGGTATCTAGATATTAAAAATGGTAAATATTTAAATAAGATAGTACCTCCATCGAGTGGATTTTCTTGTCTTTTATCATTGCGCGGAGAAACTCTCAATGGTTTGATGTTAACTATTCTGCCTTGGAGGGGACGAACAAAAAGTAAATCATGCATTCAGAGCTCAGTTTGTCCATAAAAGTCAGATGCACGCTTGGCTAAGAAATGATTGAGGTGCTCATCGACTTCCTCCATCTGACTTAACCTAATAGCAAAAAGCAACATAGATAAATTGATACAAAGCATGTCACTTTTCAATCCTTGCCTAGTTTGTCATCCTGAACTCTTGTTTGTTACCACATGCCTAGCCGTATTATACGATCAGTTTTGAACTTCACCGTGATACAAGAACAATTACAATACAGGCAGAATTTCAAGCTAGGTTTAAAGAAAACAAGACGTAAATAGGCAATGTCACCCTATGACTTAAAATAGAAGTGAAAATAAAACAACAGATACTGTTCAGGCTTACGAACATCTTCTCCTCATTGTATTCACATGGTAGGCTCACAAGCCCTAAGATTATTCGCAACACTAAGATGACACTAACCTGCCTGGAATTGCTCGTCCTGATAACACACACAAGACACAACTACATTTTTTTTGTAATAATGAAATAGACCCAAATTTTATCAAACAGTTTATAATTGCACCAATTATACTGGTCTCATACTCTGCTTCACACACAACTGCAAATTTGGAAATAAAAAATTCATAAAAACAAAATCTGTGGAAAAAGCTGTGCCTTCTGAAGTAAATTGGTGTTGCAGGTGTTGAATCAAAATTTCACACTTCAAAACATTATTATTTCAAACGGATTCTCAAGTTTTACAAATTCAGAATGTGAAGTCATAACTTCGAGTAACTGTAATAATCATGTATAGTCCATGGTTAATAAATATATACCGTATATGCTAGTTTTACCGCCCGATCTTGATTAAGGGTCCGTTTGAATAGCCGCCTGTGTGAACAGAACATAAAAATAAATAAGGGCCGGTGCTCGAATACCCGCCCAATGTAAAAGCTGATTTTTCAGTGATAGAGAACAATAGGAAATAAGAAGCGCTTTTGTGACAACGCTGTTGAATTTTAAGCGCTGATAGATAACACTCATGCCTTTAGGCGTCCAAAAGTCAAAATTTTCGTTATTCTCGTTTAAATCATACTTGAGAACTGGAAATGACAATATATTTTGTGTATAATTTTACTTTAATAAATGGTATGTATACAAAAAAAATCGTTAATGTTCAGACTAAGTTTTGGACAGAGATTTCAAGTATTTCACACAGTTACAAGAAAAAATTCACACGAAAACGTCGCTAGTAAAAAGGCAATTTATCTTTTATCAAATTCTCAAATATTTCTATCGCTCAAATATTTGAGAACATAAAAGTCAGTAAATATGCTTTCAGCAGGTAAACAATGAAATATGAAAATAATAAATATACTGTCACAAATGTGACAAAGAAAAAAAAAATCGGATTTCTTCCAGGGGCAAATAGTAAAAAAAAAAATGGCATCTCACATTTGCTACTCTGCAAGTTTAGTGTAACTGTACAACTACCGGTACCAGTTTTGATGAAATTCAAATAATTGAACAAGATTTTTGAGACAACAATGAACATTTATCCTGGTAGAGAGGAATGTCGATAAAATGGCTACATCGTATGAACCACACCCACTCGTTTGGTTAACGTTTTACATAACTTAGAACATGAAAAATACTGAATATACATGCGAATTCAACGATCGATAAGTTTATATATCAAGTGAATTTGATCTCACTTTATGATGTTTACGATAATCCCAGTGGGTACGATTATCGTTAGTTTAAAATTGGTTGCAAACGCAAAAACAGTCAATATCAGTAACACCACCATGTGGTTAAAATGTCCTACAAGAAAGTTTTGTGCATATCAACGATCATCATGTCCACTACTGGATGGGGGATGGCCCCGTCGAGTCTCGAACGGGGGATGGCCCTGTCGAGTCTCTAATGAGGGACGCCCATGCCGAGTTTCGAATGGGGGACGACCATGTCGAATACTGAACAGGGGACGGCCATGTTGTCTATCACGTCGCCCAGACCGTTCCCTTAAGTCGTCAAGTACTTCTCCCTGTGTTATGGCAGCTCGTGGGAATCGCCTTTGACCCATACGTGGCCTTTGTTGAGGGTCATATGGTCCAGAACGTGATGAATTCCGGTACGAGCCGTATGTAAGTGAACATTGGATATCAGACTTAGGTTCTGCTGCTCCCATTTTCTGTTTCCATTCATTGTTGAAAGTATCTGCTTCCTCTAAAACAAGAGATGAAGATTCAGACAAGCTTCATCGAGAGCAATCAGTGAAATGCTTGGATATGCATGAAATTAAATTCATGCTGTTTACCAATGGTTTCCAAAGTTGATCAAAGTTGTCCAAAATGCATAGAATCACCTAAAAACTATTTGGAGAGAGTACCAATGAGATATATTACCCCGTCATATTGCTTGAACTGAGTTATCAGTGAATGTAGAAACAAACTCAAAGCCATAAAAACTGGGTGTCCAAAAAATTTCGCCCGGTTTTATAATAATTCAAGTTTAAATGAATTTTATCCTATGATAAATGAGAAATACATTGTTATTACTTTAAAATCAGATAAAATTTTAAATTTTTTTTACCGGTACTATAAAACCAGGTGAAATTTTTTGGACAACCTGTATTTATCATTTATGTGCAGCTCTCGGCGTGTCAGTGATTACTAGTAACTCAAATCATAGAAAATCTTCTTTCTTCTCCTCTGAGTGATTCCCTTGCAACCTTAGTACGAGGAGATTGGCAGAATAAAATTTTCGAAAACAACAGAAACACCCCCACCTTCCTCAATATTAACATATTCTTGCTTTTCTTCTTCGTCTCCAGTTCTTCTGTTTTTTGCCTTTTCTATGATATGTGCTCGATCATCTGCAAGATAAGATAAGATCAAGATAAGAACAATCTGCAATGTTATTTAGATGTCGCTGATATGTTAACTTTAAAGTTTATTCATGGCTCCTCGTCTATTGCAGTTGAAATATTGTTTAACTATCAGTGGACGAGACCAACTCCCAATTCGCTATGCCTTTGCGCTAGTGGATCTGTATGTCATGTGTATAATGCAAGGATGCTGTAGCAGGAATAAAATAGCCATACTATACAATTTAATAGTGTCCTGCTGCACAATAACACAAATGTATTTCTGTAAAGAGCAGTTTAAAACGATGGATTAATGGATCGTACATTTGTGTTAGTGATCAGCAGGAAATATTGTATGTCTTTTTATTTTTTCTCTCCATTCATTTACTTTTTACGTTTATTTGTACAATATTTCATGCACGACGGAAACAAATATCTGTTCCTGAACCTTGTAATAGATGCAAGCAATAGAATTTTGTGGAAATTTTGTAAAAACCAGACAAAATACCACAGTTAAGTCTAACACTTTGATTGCTAGAACATCGTTGCCAACAATTTTAAGATACAAATATGAAGTACCCAGGAATCTTTTTTCGCATGATTACATTTATTCTTTTTCACATTATGACCTATGTCGAATTCCTCAAGTAACTGTCGAGAATTCTACTAATACAAGCTGGATTCAATGTCTCAAACTTTTGAGTACAAAGTCTAGTAGTCAAAGATAAACCAAAACCATTATTTAAACAATAAAAACCACATAACACACTGCGTTATCAAGTGCAAATGAACTTAGCTGACCTTGACACGTATTAAGTGATTACACACACTCATGTTTAAGTCACTTATCATCTGTAACACTTGCGTAAAGAAACTGTAAAATCACTGTGTTTTTATTGAACTTCAGTTTGTTATATCGATTTGGTTTCTGGGAGACTAACTACTTACTGTATATGCTTGTTTTTCTGCTCGATCTTGATTACGGTAAGTTGGAGTAGCCGCCCGTGTGAACAGAACATAAAAATAAATGAGGTCCGGTGCTTGAATACCCGCCCGATGTAAAAGCTGATTTTTCAGCGGTAGAGAACATTAGGAAATAAGAAGCGCTTTTGTCACAACGCTGTTGAATTTTAAGCGCTGGTAGATAACACTCACTCACGTCCAATTACATAACAGACAGCATTGATTACGTAACACTGTGGTCATCAAACTGGGCGTCGCGGGCCCAAGTGCGTCGTTTCAATATTGATAGGGCGTCGCAAAACTTTTCTTCTTTTGATTTGTTGTTTCTTGTTAATAATATAAACTACGGGTAATATGAGGGAATTACTCTTAAGACGTGAATAATTTGCGTTTGACGTGAATAAATTGACATGGAAAAAGGATTAATGTCGTCAAATATTTGTCTTCAAAGATACCGTAATTTTTGTGTATAATTTTACTTTAAAAAATAAAAAAATAACAAGCGCCCGCCGGTTTGAATAAGGGCCCGAATAGTGAGTTTGGGTAAAAAAATATGGGCCCGGGCTACAAAACGAGCAAATACGGTATCCTTCTTCTATGCTTTTGCGCCGGTGGATCCGTATGCATATAACGCAATGATGCTGTAGCAAGCGTGAAAATAGCGTTCCTAAGTGATTCAACAGCCTTGATGCACACTAACACAAATATAGTTGAACTATGTATGGCTGAGGAAGTCTGACCTTGGTCAGACGAAACATTAAAGAAATATATTTGTGTCGGTGTGCAGCAAATCATTCAGTTTGTTATATGGAAAGGATTACAAAGCTGAGGCCAAATTTTTTCCCAGCATGAAAAAGACAAGACAAAGTTACGAAAGATATCCACAAATTTAAAAAACAGAGTAAACAAAATGAAAACTTTAACCTGTAAGCTGTAACACTAGAAAAGCTGCAAAATGACTGTGTTTTCATGTAATTTCAATAAAATGGGTTTGAGTTTGCTATATGGTGAAGCAAATATAGACAAGGTTAAAAAAAATTCCAGCAAGAAAATGACAAGATGAGAATACAAAGGCTACCCACAAATTGTAAAAATCAAGAGTAAATAAAATATAATATGAAAGCAGAAAATTCACAGAAACTGAGCAGAAAAGCATTCAGTGTATCTAGGATTGATCATAGGAGTTTATATATATGTTTTCATTATAGTACAGAGCATTCCTAAAGTTGCATCTGAAAAATTAACCTAGAAACAATTTTTTTAAATTGTTGAGAGACTTTATGGACTGTATAAATTTTATAAAATTTGAGATTTGTGACAAGATACTGGCAGAGAATTATTAGCAAATCTGGAAGGTGGCAACAAACAATACTAAAACAGGAAAACACAGAAGAAATCGATAAGAGTAAACGGAAAATTCAAGTTAAGCAGTGAAGAATCTACTTACGAATATGATGTCCTATTGCCATCCTCATTTCTCCTGTTCCTGTATCCTTGTGAGATTTTCTTGTTTCTTTAACCTAAAAAAACGATCGAAAGTTTGATAAAACAAATAAATTACATTCTATTCAACTACTAAAATTGTGGAATTAGATAACACCTAAGTTATTTCCTGTGCGATTTGTATGATACTACTATTAATAAATATCTCAAGAACTGTGATACTGTATTCGATAAGCTAAAGAAGTACATATAGCACACCGTACCACGACGTTTATAAAGAAAGGAAGGAAGAATATTAATAGAACCCCGTTACAGTCCCTGCATTTGGTCTAGTACAGTGGTTTTCAACCTTTTTTCATTTGTAGCCCACTTTTCGTGGCACAAAAATTCTGTGGCCTGTTAATTTCTCATGCAAGCAAGAAACTACAGGAATACCAAGAAAAAATTTCTGCAAAAACTTTTTTTTCACTTTAATAAATAAAATGAAAATGACGCCTCACTGGCAAGAAAACAGCATCATTGTCCACTAGATCGATTCAGGTCCAATGATAATAAAAGAAGTTATGAACAGACAATTTCATCCAAAATCAATGCATTTAAAAATTCAACTCTCCCTGTAACCTAGCCCCAGGGGATTATGCGCAACAAATTAGTTGTTCGACAATCAATCAATATTAAATGTCACAGCAAAGCAAAATGGTAGAATTGATCTAGATTCTATTCATGACAATATCTGGCAGACTGGCAATGCAAATGTTATTTTTTAGTTGGGAATTCAAAGATCATTGGAAATGATAATTTGAATATCCAACTTCCTTGTTATCTTTAATATCAATTTAGTTCAAAAAAAATACATAAAATTGAAATATTGTTTGCCAGCACAAATATTGCAATATGCAACAACTAATTATACAAAAAATTAAACTAAAATTCGATGAAGCTATATTTTGAATACTAAGGGTTCATTAATACCCGTATTCTTAATTAAATATAAAACAAATTGTCCAAGCACTTTTAGTTAGAAAACAAACATTTCAATTTCCTTACCCCATCCTGTCCAACCCTTGTAGATGACGTTGATTCAATAACCCTCGGTCCTTCTTGTCCACTTTGCATTACGATTGTGGACGAATGATACGACTGCCCTGCTCCGGGTGTCAAACCTCCAGAGAATGACTGCATGGACTGGAAAATAAAATATTAAGATGAGAATTTAAAAATAAAGACTTCACCATATTCAGCCAATACCCTAACACATGGGTATGCAACCTGTGGCCCGCGGGCCAAATGCGACCCACAAGGAAAAATTGTGTAGCCCGCCGAGAAGTGTTAACTTTGAATGGTGTGTAAGCCAATACTTACAATCCCTTAGCGTTGCACAGTCCATACCAGAATCCAATTCACTATCTATGCCTATAACGAACGTTACAAGCCCAGCTTGTGAGAATCGAACAACGCAAGTCATAAGATCAATAATCAAAATTTGTGCCGTAACTACTAGAACGTCTGTGTTAAATAATGATGCAGCTCGGATTCCACACAGCTATTCGTAATTGGTCCTCCTGTTTAAAAGGTTGCACACCCTTGCCGCACTGGTACAGATGTATGAATAATGAGTGAGCAAATTCAAATACAGTTTGAAAATAAAAATAAACAAGCTACTACCGCATGATATTTCTCCTCCACTCTGTAGTTTTCTTCAATATATTTCTCCATTGCAGTCACCCTTTCTATACTAACCAACCGAGCTAAGATTGAGTTTAAATATTAACTAGATTGTAACCTTAAACGAATCTTTCAAAAGCGATTTTTTGAAAACTAACATTCCTGTATTAAAGCCCACCAGCTGAAATCTTTCCAAATAAATACAATCTTCACACAACACTATGTTTTATTCATATAGACCGTTCTTGTTATTCATTGTTCTCAAAAATTCTATTCTGAATGTCATGATTCATATTTACATTTCCTACTTCCTGTATATATAGGTTGATGTGTGATTCAAAGAAAAATGATTTCTGTGATTCCTGGCTCCGTGGTTGACGCATTGCTCTAATGGTTAGAAATGCACTTGCCGATGTTAAACTGATTACCCTGCTGTGTTTACAGCTGTTGAAAAATAAATATGTGCAAAGGGGTTGTTGGAATCCTTACCACAGTTGGTAGTTCATGTAACTAACCACTGGTGTCATCCACCATTAGGTGCATGCATGTGAAAACAAAATAACAGACCAACTAACCCGGACATGGTGACTGTGCGTGTACGTCATATAATGAGACCATCTGGCTTTCCAGAAGTATGTGTACCAATATGGAGAGATAATTTTGTTGAAACCTATGGGTAGGGGGATATTCACTTGGCTAACACAGACAGTCCCGAACTCGTAATAGAACTAAAATAAGAAAATCGGATGAAATTATGTCCTAACCCTAACCTGGTGCACATACTACATAAGATGATATTGTAACAATCAAAGTCATTTCCTAGGTTCATATCCAAGTGCAATATCCACAATTTTACGTTCCCACAAACATACAAATTTTGCTACATGGGAAGATTGATCACTTGATTCCTGTTTTTGATTTGTGGGCTGTCGCTTGAATAATATTGCCGCTTGATTCTAGTGTGTATTTCATATGTAATAAAAGTATAATTGTATTCTAATTATCTTCTAATACTGAGTGAGAACAATTCTCTCAGACTTAATCTGGAATGGATTCTTCAAGTACAGCAAACAGCTGGAGACAGATGCCCTATAGTTGTTGACAAATCTTCAAATTGAACAAGTGAGCAATGTTAGAATAGATGGAGACTAAAGAGAAGCTGAGCACCGAATTTTGGGAAATGATCAAGCGACAACAGTAAGTGTGAAATGAAAATGACTTGGTTAATTAGAGCCTCCTGGTGAGAAATTTGGTACCTTTTTTCAGTACAATTATTTGAATTGAAATCTCATTAAAGGATTTACAGCATAATATATTTGTGTGTATAAACAAAATTAGCATCAGCGAAAAAATCAATAGGCCTATCACATGAGTTGGCCATACTAAAATAGAATGCTTCGTTTTGTTCTGTATCAATATTTATCTGTAACTCATTGTTATTACTTATCGATTTTAATCGGTAAGTATGTTGATAGGTATTTGTCTGTCTGTTTGTTTGTCTATTTGTCTTTCTGTCTGTCTGTTAGATGCACGCGATATCTAACGAAAGAGAGATTGAATCTGCTCCAGATTTTGCATGTGCATTCATCATATGTCGTACCAGAAGCCTATTGATTTTGGATGAATTATGTCGTATAATTTGGTGAGGTATTAATTAATTAGTGATGGGACACAAGGTGTCACTATGGAGTAAGAGCACTGTTTTGGGGGATCCCCTAACTTTCGATCGATAAGTCTTCAGTCTCTGACCGATATTCTCGTTTTGGATGTTACTTAATAACTAGTTAACGAGATGAAAATTTAGCTTGTCAGCAATCTAAACCTGGGGCAATTGAAGGGGGCCTCAGCCCACAATGCTAGGTGCAGAGTTGATTTCACGATATTAGGTTATTTTACAGGGTGCTTTGTTGTGCATGAAATGTCCGAACATAATAACATAAATCTACTGCTAAGAATAATACCACTGGAATGATAAACAGGGGACCACAATGAATAAAATTCAATATCATATAGAACAGTTACATGTGAAAAATTACCGTAGGGTTATTAAAATCTTTCTTGAAAAACATCAATCTTCTAAAAATTGTGTAAAATAGAACTACGGTAATCGAATAATTGTATATTTTAGCTTCTTGCTTTACACTGGATGCAGTAAATTAAAAAAATTATCTGAAGTAAATTGTCAGGTCTTCAACTCACCATATTACGTTGTGCATTTTGCATCATGTTCTGCATTCCATTCATTCTTCCCATCATGTCTTCAAAAGGTGAAACCTAAAAACGAAAAAAAATGAAGAATGATAGGCCCGACTCAAAATAGATTTATATATTAATCCCGAACGAAAGGCGATAATCATATGGCGAACCAAGGCCTCTCATCCGGTTACCAGTCCATGTCGGGTATAGGATTACTGACACTTAGAAACAGTGCTAGGTAGTATCCCAAAACTCAAGGCATCAGATGAGGAGAGTATCACTGAATTAAGTTGTGAGAAGGTCAAGGCTGTCAAGTAAAGAGTTTGGCATATTTTCGTTGAAGTCATATTTTCAGAATCAACTTTTTAAACTCAAAGTCGGCAGTGTCAGCAATCGTGAATTTGCCAGATTTCACAGCCCTGGGCGGTACATCAAAACAGTATTATGGTTGAGATTCTATGAAGAAGGATGTTGTATTAATGCAAAAAAACAGAATAAATCAACATAAGAAGATCATTTTTATTCACAAGGATATGTCGAGCAAGCCCCTGAAGTAGAATGCATTCTCAAATACTAGGTTAGAAATTCTTTTATGCACATGGACTTGCATGGGGCATGGTGGAGAAGGCCGTAAGCAATCAGCGGTTAAATGAAGTAGGCTACTGGCTACGCTACAATGGGGAGGAGTCAAGCAATCATCTTATACATTATTATCCCCACAGAGTTTGAACCTGTGGACCTACAGAGGGTAATAAGGTTTTCTTAATGCTAAGCACACGCCAATCGCAGAGCCAAAGTGTAAGTTCTTGATCAGGGACCAAATTCATTGCTGAACTCATAAGGCAGTTGTTACCAAACTTTTTGTTCTTGCAGCGCCAAATTTTCAAGGAAAAAACTCACACCACACTTACACGAAAAAAAAATGCTGCTTTTAAATAAAACAAATTTTGTGATCGGTAATGTGTACTTTTAAAATTTATAAACATGTAGGCCTGAGGAACAAAGGCAAAAAGTCAACTCTTTTTTCTCATCTCAGCCTGGTATTTCTTTGAAATGCTGAATAAATCACTCATATTTGCCAAATTCGGTTCATCAGTTTAATACCCTGCAGCTCGCGAAATTGCAGCAAGTAGTGTATACCTGTTACGTAACAAAAGAGGCAGACACTACGTAACAGGAAGTAAATGACATAGAAAGGTAAAATGAATTTACTGATTCATAACAAAACAGCATTTAAAATAGGAAACAATATAACATTTATGAGAAAGTACCATTTTGCTAATTTTCGCGGCGCACTTAGTAACTTTTCCCTTTTGGGAACCGCTGTAATAAGGTATAGATAGATTTCTTACAGGCATAGAAAGTTGATGTCTTCTCATCCCGTCTTCTAATTGCAACATTCCTCCCGGTCTCTGCAACATAAGTGGACTGCTGAATAATGGTGAATGAAACTGACTCATCATTCTGTTCATGTGTTCAAACGGATCCCTGGAAATGATAAATTAAGGTATTGTTATATAGAACCGCGAAGAGAGTGAGAGAATTTATTCGTTTGTTAACCTAGAGAAAGAGAGAATTTATTATTTTGTCTACCAGGAAACACATAATATATAAATAGTAATATCAAAATAAGTGAATCAAAAATTTGTGGTATATCACTGGGTGGTGACAATACGACCGTTGATGGTCCTCTCAGTCAGTTACCATACAATACAAAACTTTTTTTTAATGAGAGTGATAGAATTTATTGTATGGTCAACCAGAAAACAAAGCACATATAAATACATTAAATAAAGATTTTAATTTTCAATAAATGACTGAGTGATAATGATATGATCATAAGCTCATCAATCAAAGGGATTATTTATGAAACAGCAATAGGGTTGACATGGCAATAAAACAATAGTGGAATTTCCTCGTCATGAAAAAGATATGAAATCTATTTGTATGCACCGATATACCTTGGCAGCCTGAACTACCGAACGGGTGCACTGACCACCAGGTTTGAATATGCTCGGCAGTGTGGCGCACCATGCTAAGCTTTAACAGGCTTTAAGAATACACTTGCCACCGCATTTGTGATTGATTACCCTGCAGGAGTTCGCACCCTGTTAGGTTAGATTATGTCTGTATGTCTGAGAGAGCTTCATGTAACCGCTTGACAGTATCGCCTTCCTTCATCAATCTGTCAGTAAACGATTAAAGCGATGCGTCTGAAACAAACACATGGCTAACCAACCCTGCCAACCCCAAATCCAACATCTGAACATGGATTGGTAACTGAAGGTCGTAGCTTTCCATATGATCAATCTGTTTAATGGGATTTTCTATCACCTGCCTTGGCATGAATATGGGAATCATAAGTACCGTATTCTAAGTGCTGAATATTGCAGTATTGAAAAGCATAACAATGAATCTCTCTTACATTGCCTGAACTTAACATGAAAATACTAAAAAAGGCTAGGTTCTGTATTTCATCATTTACGAAAATTCATGAATTGACAAAAATTTCAAAATATACAAATTGAACTTACATATTGAACGGATCATGTCCAAACATTGAAGGAAACATGTTGAATTGTCAAGCTGTTGTTGATTGTCTGCTTCCGATACCGGTACCGTATTAGTTTACTGTAAGTTTGTATGTTTATTTGCTTCAACTATGTTACACCCAGAGATCTGCAACTTGCTTCAAAACACACGTTTCACAAGGTCTTACAGGGGTATCAACTCAAAACAACACAACTATAGACAGCGATGTACAGATAAAAACATTCAGTTCATTTCTCCTGCATCTGGATATGACGTCATATGAGACAAAACTCATTATTTATGGCAGTGTATTGATCGACAGCGCGAAATGAGATTGCTATACAATTTAATTTGGCATTCAGAGAACTCAACACGTTAAATATGTATGCCAGTATGTCAAAATATAACGGTACCGTACCTATCTGACTGAAGAGCTTGTTATTAATATCTTACTTAAAAAACGGTTGGTGGTTACGTAAGTTGCATATGATTGGAGGAGATGGTGGTTAGGACACGGGAGAATTGTTCACAAACCATGCAAAAACTCTCCATTTTGGTCAAACCACACAAACCAGGCCCTAGCCCTAACATGCTTCGATCATGTTTTCGTAAATAATAATGTTCGAAATAGCAGAAGTCACGATAAAATTTTTGTTCCTTATGTGAGAAAATCAATAGCATAAGAATCGATCACATGTTTTGGTCCTAAATTGGTCTAAATTGGTCTGGTCCTATTATATGATCAAAAACGACGTCCGAATTTAGATCAAAACCTAAAAGACATTTATTGGAATTATATTAGCTTTCGTGCAGTAATGAAATTCTACTCTCCGGGCATTATTTTTCAGATACAAAGGGCTCTTTGATAATTGGTGAAAAAAAGTTGAGAAAAGACTGGCAAATGAAAATTAAATCCGTTTGACTAACTATGTCATCGTGGATGCAACCAACTCCCATTGCTACTATAACGCAGCAGTTCTAAACTACAGTTATACTTGTTGGGGTGCATGTCGCACATCTGTGTCCTAGGCCAGTAAGGTCTTGAACATGTATCCCGTCTCTTTTATACCGTTTAACTATTATGCAGATACTGTTACATTTTTGAGGCAAATAAACATACATATATAAACGCAACTTAATCTGTATGTTTGGTCAATTTTATGTCATTTGATGATATTGAAAAAAAAGTCAAGTATTAAACAGTCAAAAAAATCGCGATATATATATATATCAGATGATTATATTGCATGGGATTTATTCATTGTTCATGTGTGCATTGATCCAAAGATCTTGCCAGCTTATGTTTGAGATCAAGTACATCGCTGTGACAAGAGCACGCCTCAGATCGATGTCAGTCGCATTCGTAGTTCGCAGTTATACTCGACAAGATGCAGCGTATCATTTTTGACTCATCCTTAGTACTTATGTTGGTAATTTTCTCAAAAGCCTGCAAACTTCCATCTACTGAAGTCGAAATTAATTTCGATGCAATTCCGCAAAAATGGTATGCTGTAGCTCATTCTGGTCAGGCTGCGTACAACTCTTGGAAGTGCATCGTAATCAGTAGACACAAAACTCTGGACGGATTTGAAGCCGATGTGCGTATCTTTCATACCGAGGATCAAGGCGCACCAAACAACTTGACAGCAGTATTCTCGAGAGTCGCGCCATCAACATTTCAGGTGACAACTTCGAGTGGATTGAAGATAGGAAGGCAACTGGTTATCGCCCACGCAGAAGAAAGTGTTATACTCGAGGAAGATGATTTTAAAAATATGCCCACTGTATATATAACTGACGATGACGAAGAATATTTCATCCTTCTCAAGTGTAGTCTCAACGGTGAGAAGAGAGTGGTTTTGGAAACTTCGACACCCGTTCCCAGCGTCGAAATAATTTTAAAAGCACATAACATGCTTGTCCAAATCAGTGATGGCTGGGAGAGAGTAAAACTCCTGCCAAATAGTTGCAATGATTTGGGTGTTTAGGAAAACATATACCGTGTTTCTCCGAAAATAAGACCTAGCCTGAAAATGAGACCTAACCTGAATTTCGAAAATGATTTTAATATAAACCATCCCTTCAAAATAAGAACTAAGACGATAACGATAGAGCATAGGTGAAACAATTTGCCAGAAAATTCAGTTCAATCTAGTGACTTGCAAGACATTCCAGAGGATGTTAGTTAGTGTTTTTTTAAATGAAAACGTGGTATTTATGAGTAAATGGATATCGGTTTTCATATCTTGTATATTCGGAAATCTCGTAATTCTCTACTTTGTATTTTGTTTTTGATAAATGAATAAAAAATACCCCCTCCCATAAAAAAAAATTCAAATTAAATAAGTATTGTTATTCGGAAGAAAATTGAAATGAGACCCTGTCTTATGTTCGAGGAAACACGGCATTCATATATTCACACAAGATGTATTGTGTACCAATATAATATATATCGCCAAATATTACTAAACGCTTATAACAAGTATTGCTTTATTAATCAGTTTGAAAATAAAATCATATCAATGAAAAATATTTAGATGTTTACTTATTTTTCGAGTGGCCAACAGACGATGTATATTTTTAAATGACTAACTAGCAATTTAATTAGTTATTGACATAAGTTTTTTGGTACTCCCGTAGATTGTGTAACAGGGGAGGGTTAGGCCATAATTTTATTCCGATTTTTTATATTTCAGTCCTATTACGACTTCGAGGACTGTCTGTGTTAGCCAAGTGTATATACCCCCTGGTCATGGTTTCAGTCCCGTTACACAACTTGATGTAAAAAAGCGAACAAAATTAGTTACGTCCATATTGGTACAAATACTTCTGGTGCACCATTATTTTTTTCATAATATAATCGGTAATATAGTTTTCCATGGACAGTGAGTTAAACAATTTACCTATATTATCAACCCCCACTGATTCCAAAAATTTAATTTTCCCAGTCCGTTTTTAAGTTATTTGCTAAGCTACAATACGCGTCTGATACTCGATTTTCAGCACGCCAATACCACTATTGTGAATGATGTAATCAACTTATGTATGATGTAATAGACCAGAGTGGTCCAAGGTTGTGGGCTCCGCGGGCCACAAAGTAATTTTGGCATTGGTCGCGGGCCACAATAGTACCAAGAATAGGTAAACAGTGCTATACAAAACAAGCACTTCTATTGTGTAAACACATAGTTATCAGGCATTGCCAACCTAGGCTAATAGAATCCGCATTCGATTTTTTAGTTTCTATCATGCCTATATTGTTAGCATATATTCCCGACCAAAACGATAGAAATCCGAGTAATCCAATTTAGACTGCCCATCATATCATTCAACTTTGCTAGTTGCTGCAGCTAGCCATCATACTAGTCAATTCAGTCGCAATAGTGATATAACAACAATATGTCAAACGATTTTTCTGACTTATTTTATGAGAAGAAACTTAAAATACGATATTTTGATTACTCTCCTAATGCGGCAGGCCGTTAAGCTGCCAAATAAACACGGATTTAATTTTCGGTCAACCGCACAAGATGAGCCAACATAGATGGCCGTAATAGAATACGTGACTAAAAAATACATCGAATACATCGTTCCGAATACATTCAAAAAAAATTATTTCCGAATCTGAAATTCCAAATACCTTCTAGAACCCGTAAAGCATGAATTTTATTCACATTTCAATACTTAGTTGAGCTTAAGCAAATTAAGCACGTACTTAGAGTTATCACCAAGGGTAAGGATGCGGCATAGAAATTCCCTGCGACGAATTTTCAATAACGCCCCAGTGTTACATAACGAACTTAGTCGGATTGGCAAACGTTTCAGACTTCTATATTAGCCCGGTAGAAATGAATTTTTGCTTGTTTTTCTTTCTCAAGTTCCATTTTTAAATAATATAATCATATTGAAGCAGACACAAATAATTTGGAGTATGACACTGCTAATTTTAATTCCGACTGTTTTTCTGTGTTAGTGTCCTTTAGCCCATTGACATCGCCGCTAATTAAGCTAATTTCCACCACTTCTCCCTATCTCACAATTATCCATCTATTCGAGTATTTTTATTTTGCTCGCGAAACTGAAAAATAATGATTGTTATTACGCAGTGATCGTCAACGAGACGATAATAATAATTAAGGGTGTGAACCCGATTTCAATCTGCCAATGAAAACCAAAAATCCTGTTTTATTCTTCAAGTCGGCGCTGATTTAAATAAGGTAAATATTTCTTGTCGGTTCGTGATCCTCCTATCTTTGATTATAAACTAATCCCGCCAACTATAATTGCATAATATTATCATCAACGACACCGGGACAACGATAGATTCGTAATAAATACTAAATTACGTTTAAGCGCTATTTCAGACGCTGTAAATTGCAGGAAGTGCAAAAATTTCTCATTATACTCGGTTACAATCACATTTGTTGTAAACATAGTCATATTTTCCACTACAACTTTTCAAACTTTTTTTACTTCGTTACCTTTTCCTTTAAAAAATACTTTGTGGCTTACTAGGCTTACCATAAATCTGAAACAAAAAACCGGGACGGTGCGATTTGGCAAACATTCGGTCGATTGTCAGTCTTTGTAATATTGAAACGTCTACCATGTCATTAAGGGTATATACGGCTGTAAATCTCTACTGATCATTGAATTGGGAAAAACACAAAAAAATAGTTTGTATTATTTATTTACACCAAAAGTATTGTCCGCAGATGGAACTCTTCTCAAAAATTCATGTTCTGATTTTTTCATAAAACTCATAACAAGAGACATCACCATTAAATTTGCAGGTCACGAGTGCTTTTATATATTCTTCTTGCATTCTGAACCTGCTTTCGAATCAAAAATTTTTAACAATGGAGAAAATCCGTTTAACAGATCCCGATGTTCCGGCAAACAAAATCTACGAGCTTCTGCAAATTCGAAATGCTAATATTTCTGTTAGAACAAACGTTAAACATCTCTGTCCACCTAATTTCAACCGGCAAAGTAAGCCAAATTGCATTTGAACCATGCTCAGAAAAATATCCCTTCATCGGTATTTGTTGAATAGTGCATCGCTATTCAAAATCTGACTAGCCAACCAAACACTTCAGTCCAGTTTATTTCACCTTTCAAATTTGTTCATATGTTTGGCCTGACAGCATTGTAGGCTTCATCATGCAGCTACGATAGACATTTCTCGTAAAAATCGCAAACATTCTTTTTAAATAGAGTTACGTCGATTTCGTCAGAGCGTTCCAAGGATTTCAGAAGTACAAGTGATTGCGACGGAATTAACAGATTTTTACCCTTTTTTCT